TATATTATAGAATTGTTATATTATGAATTTTTAAAATCTTAGACTGAAAGTATGATGAAGATCGAATTCTTGATGATGACAAGATTGATGCACACCAAACATGCACCATGTAGTAATCCTTGGTCTTCAGTGGTACCGCACAACATACACACAAATAATTAAAGTGTAGTATAATACGTGCACTACACATTCAATGAATAGTAAAACAAAATAAATAAATGGATGATGAACATTCAGAACTCAAGAGCATCTGATTCGTGGTCCATCAGCTTCCAAGACCCATCGTCTTCTTGAACCATCCCCTTGTTCTTCTCGCACCACCATTTAGCCGGCACATGAAATTCATCTTTCAGTGCGTCCATCACTTTGTTCACCAGCGTGATATCACGCTTAACCACCAGCTTGAATTCACCACCTTCACTAGTCCCTTGAGCAGAGCTCGCTGCAGCAACAAAACATGGACACGCTAAACCCATCAAATGGTGGATCACAGGGTGCTTTGAACTCGAACTTGAACCAGACCGGGATCGCGTCCGTGTTTTATTGGTGGTTGCAGGAAGAACTGAACTGCCTTGAGTTCCTGCAATTCCATGCAGATAGATCTCTAAGTTGTGCCAGCTCATTGGCTCCGCTGATTCCTTCAAGAACGGTGACGTATCGGTGTTAATCACCAGCTCTTCCCCAACTTGGGTATAGCCGATCATTGGTGGATAGTTGGGCACGACGTCTATGGCGTTACGAATACGTAAAAGTCGAAGATGTTGGGTGGAATTCAAAATGGAGAAGACATTTCGGAAGTTGGCGTCTCCGACGAGGGGACAGCCAAAGAGAAAGGCAGTAACTAGACAGGCTTTGTCGGGATGGTCGGTGGGCTTGTTCAATCCATTGGCCACAATGTCTACTGCGTTCAGTATTCCAAGTGCCGCGCCCAAGCTATGGCCGGTTATGGTTATGTTGATTTCCTCGTCCTTGAATTCCTCCACTAGCCTCTTCACCTCTTCCAAAACCTGAAATTTTACAGTGATTGACTGGAATGGATTATCATTTGCAAGTTTAAATTTAAATGGAGAATATCCACCAGGAATAGGAATGAGATTCCAATTCTGCCAAACCAAAACTCCCTATTTCTGCAAACAAAACGAACCCTCAATTCAATTTAAAATTTCTCAAAATTGAAAGCAATGCTGCAATTTTTTCAGCAAATTTCACCTGTTGTCTAGCACTGGTTGTATTGTAGGGTGACCTTGGGTCGTCAGAAGTGTAGATGGATAACCAACCCTGGTGCACCTTTGCATCAGTTTTGGCCCTCAGTATCTCAGACGCCGAAACCAAGTTGAATTCGAAATCGTCGATCCATTCCAAGGCCTGCACGCTCCCTCTCCACGCAATCAGAATGTCCCTCCGGCCAAGCACGGCCTTCCCTTCATCTGTGGCCACTGCGACATAGCCCATCCAATTCGACTCTCTGCTCCACGCTTCCCTCGACAATGACTTGATGATAAATGCATCTGGAACATCTATTCGGGATGTAGCATACAAGAATTTCGTTATATTGTATTTGTATGGATTTCCCTTTTCCAGAAACAGCCCTGAGAAGAAGTTGGCCTTTGAATACCGGCTACTTCCGGCGAACATGGAGGCCTTCTCACTGTTGAAGGTGTCATAGGTGGCCTGAGCCCTTTCGCCGTAGTGAATGATGATTCGCCGCAGGTCAATGTCAAGAGGGTCCAAGAGGTTCTTCCAGTTGTCCTCGCCATTAAGCTCCCTCCATCGTGTAGCTATGCTATCAGCCATTGTCCACACTTCGAATTGAACCAGACCAAAGCTTAATGAAGATTGTTATTGAGATATTCGGTTTCTATGGGTTCCTTCCTGTATATCTTATCACACTATTTATTCAATGAGTTGATTTAAATTTGGTTCCAAGAAAGAAGGAAAAATAAAGAAATAATGAAAGCTTCAGGCAATGCTGTATTATTAATTGCTTAATTTGGAGTTGGGAGATGCTTGCTGTTTTACTAAAGCCAGCCTTTGAATGTTCATAAACGTTTTTATAATGCACTAAACCCTTTTTACAAAGGAAAGCATAAAAGAAATGACAGCTTAAGCTTTGCAACCCAAGCAAAACAAAGAGCCCATAATAAAATGATTTGTGTAAGTAAATACATTTGGTAATTGATTTTAAACTTTAGTACAAGGTTTATGGACGGGATTTTGCTTGTTCAGTGAACGGTATATATTTAAGCTGAATGGTGTATGCATTTACCCATATTCTTTCATTTCAAATAAGATAATGACCATTTTATCCATAAAAACTATTATTAAAAGGGGTAATTTTGTCACATTCAAGTATTATCAATTTTTCCCATAAACAAATTGCTTATCCACTCAGAAGAAGAATATCAATTAATACCAAGGGAAAATAAATTTAAAAAAAGAATATCAATTACTAAAATCTCATTAACCAATTTTCCCCCTCTCCCTATAGATTTATAAATCTCTGGTATCAAGACTGCTTTAATTTGGCTTGTTCAAACCAATTAATCATACCCAAAAGTTTGAGGTTGTAATCATTTAATCACATCCACTATTTACCAAATCAATCCATTCCTTTCTAATCATCAGACACTTAAAACTTTGGATTCAGGGAGAAGAGAAAATGTATTACAACTTTAGACGGGAAACCCAATGATGAATTCCGTCATTGAATTAACAAACAGCTTGCAAACCAAAATAATATAAACTAAGGTAAATGTCAACCCTGCTTTCTTTTTCAGGTATATTGCTTGGTTTTGGTCTGTGCAGAATATTCGCAACAGCTTCAACAAGTAATGGTGCAATGTAATAATTGCAGAAGAAGCAAAAGGGAAATATTTATATACTAATTTATTTCTTCTTTTTATCAATGAGCAGAGGTCCTTCAATAATTGGTGCCTTGAAAACGCTTTTACATTTCAGCCTGAGCTACAAATTATGAGATATAGAAGATTAAAAAAGTTATTTTTATTGTATTTAATTGCATTATAATAAGAAAAGTTCCGTTTGATGAAAGCTTTGTGAGAAATACGCAAATCAGACGGATGGAACTCATCTGATTGAACTGGTTTTTCGTATAGCCGCCGCTTTTGTCGGACTCATTCAGCTTTTGTTTGACCTGATGTTGTCTCTATCGATCCGATCCAATTGAGACGTTCCATTTTAGAGAATATATAATAACGTGGAGGAAGAGTAGTCCCTTCTATTGGAAAGGAAATAGAAGGGAAAATAAGGCTATGTTTGGTTTAATTTTCATTTTTCTTCATTTTTATCTAAGATAAAATTTTGAAATGGATAAGAATGGGTAAAAATAGGTAGAATGAGAAAATATTGTTACGAATCAAATACTTTTTTCCTAAAAACGAATTCTTTTCAGATTGCCAAGTGTCCTATGTTGCTCATCTTCATTCTTCAAAAAAAAATTGAGTCGGCGATATTCATAATCTGCTAGCCTAGGTCTGCAACAGTCAATGTTTACTAGTTGGCATAGATGTTTTGTCAAAGTACTTTCGTAAAAGTGCTTTATAAAAGTACTTTCATAAAAGTGCTTTTATAAAAGTAATTTCGTAAAAGAGCTTTTATAAAAGTAATTCCGTAAAAGTGCTTTTATAAAAGAACTTTCGTAAAAGTGCTTTCGAAAAAATACTTCCATAAAAGTGTTTTTATAAAAGTATTTCTTTTATAAGTGTTTTCATAAGTGCTTTTATAAAAGAATTTTCGTAAAAGTGCCTTTATAAAAGTACTTTTGTAAAAGTGATTATATAAAAGTACTTCCGTAAAAATGTTTTTATAAAAGTGCTTTTAGTGCTTTCGTAAAAGTGCTTTCAAAAAAGTACTTTTATAAAAGTACTTCTGTAAAAGTGCTTTTATAAAAGTGCTTTCAAAAAAGTACTTTAATAAATGTATTTCCGTAAAACTGCTTTTATAGAAGTGTTTTCAAAAAAGTACTTTCGTAAAAGTGCTTTAGTAAAATACTTTTATAAAAGTGCTTTCGTAAAGGTACTTTTGTAAAAGTGCTTTGTGAAAGTGATTTTGCAAAAGTAAACACCTATGGCAACAGTTTTGTAGGTGAAGTGCTTTAGTAAAGTACTTTAATAAAAGTGTTTTAGCAAAAGTACTTTCATAAAAGTGTTTTCATGTAAAAGTACTTCTATAAAAATGCTTTCATAAAAGTACATTTGTAAAAGTGCTTTCACAAAAGTAGACATCTATGGCAACAATTTTGTAGGCAGAGTTTCCTCAAAGAATGAAAATGAGCAAGATGGGGCATGATTATTCTTCATGTTGCAGGCTACTCAATTTTGGTGTTATGGGGCTGATTTTTCTTTCTAAAAAGAATGTGGCCCATGGCAAAATTTTTGTAACCAAACACTCTATTGTCATTCATTATTGCTCATTCTTGCCTAGAATGAGCAAGAGTTAAAAGAATGAGACCCTGAGTAGTGAATCAAACATGGCCTAAGACATCACATTCTTTTTGTTGGTAAAATGGGGTCACAGAAACTTGGAGGATAAGTGCTCTAAGGCATGTCTGAAGACACTGTCTTTAAAACCTTATTTGCCCACACTTAATTTTATTGAGTTTGTTGTTGGGTTATAGACAAATTGTTCCCAGGATACAACAGAGCCTTGGGTGAGAATCTGCAACCAGCAAAGATGAAGAATCTCCAAAGAAACCTTCTATGAAATAGTAGCTAATGGAACTAAGAGAGACAAAAATGACTTTCGAAAAACTTGTGTTTAGTTGCTTGATTCACATTCCTTAAATAGTTTATGAAGAGTCATGGAGAAGAGGAAGGTGTTGGTTCAGAAAAGACTCTTTGAACAGTCATAATTTCAAACATTGTGACTGTTAAAAGGTAATTAACAGTTAATGACTGTTAACTTTGAATAGTGCCTCTTGATCACACCCGACCGGATCGTAACCATTGAAATCATCAACAGTCAGCCTCGCACTCCGGAGATACCCATACATATAAAATGTCCTGTCTTTGCAAGAATTTCAAATTTTTTGATCAGCATTGTTATGGCCATGTGCTTCTTTCATGGTTTTATGAACAATTCTGAGAGCAAACCCAAGTTCTCTTGAGAAGCGACACAATTTCTATGTTCACATATGTCAAGTTCTACTATGTGTTTCGTTACTTAACACAATTTCAGAACTTCATTAAGAGTTTAACTCAACTTCTCATCGTAATGGACGATACTATTTATGTTGCGATGGAAAATTTCTCAAAGTCACTAACAGTCACTTCGCAGTAACTTGTTATTACCTGTTAAACCCAATATTAATTTTTTTAGTTTAGGTTGGGTTACCATTAGTGGTGACTAAGTAAAGGGTTTTAATCACATCTCTTTAGTTGTCGTTCTTACTAATTCTCTGGGCAATCATTTGGTAAGAGGATCAGCCATGTTTTTTATTTGACTTCGCATAACTTGTTGTTACCTGTTAAACCCAAAATTAATTTTTTTAGTTTAGGTTGGGTTACTATTAGTGGTGACTAAGTAAAGGGTTTTAATCACATCTCTTTAGTTGTCGTTATTACTAATTCTCTGGGCAATCATTTGGTAAGGGGATCAACCATGTTTTTTATTTGACTTCGCATAAGTTATAGTGATTAGTCCATTTTGAATTAGTTGCCTAACAAATTCATATTTGAGCCTATATGTCTAGACTTGCCATATGGTGTGCTATCCCATCTCTTTATTTGACTTATACTCAAGTTGTGCAATTGCTCTACCAGAATTTTTTACAAGCTTTATACTAGAATCATATGGTGTGTTATATTCTTTAACTCCAAAATGCTTAAATTTCTCAAGTATTCTCTCAATATAATGTGATTAGTTTAATGCATAACCACTACTATGCTTTTAACTTTTATTCTCAATATGGTATATACTTCTCATAATTCTTTCATCTTAAAGACAGAGGATAAGTAGTTTTTACTTTCATTTATGCCAACCATATTAGTACCCACAATAAGCATGTAATCAACATAAAGACCTACAATTATATTATAATTTTTAATAAACTTTGAGTAAATGCATCTATCAGTACTATTGTGTTTAAACCCAAAAGTTAGAATGCAAGAATCAAATTTCTTATGCCATTGTTTGGATGCTTGTTTTAAACCATACAATGATTTAACCAGTTTACAAACTCTCTTCTCATTTTCAAGAATGACAAATCCCTCTATTTGTTCCATATAGACTTCTTTATTTAAATCACCATTTAATAAAACAATTTTAACATCCATTTAATGAATAGACAAGTGATAAATGAATGCCAATGCTATAAGTGCGTTCTATAAAGGTTGTTCTGGCCACTAGAACATAGGTGTCAAAATAGTCAATCCCTTCTTTTTTTACTAAATCCTTTGGCTACTAAGCTATCCTTAATGGTTTGTATAGATCCATTAGTATTATATTCTAACCACCCATTTACATTTAATTGGTTTTGATCCCAAAGGCAAGTCTATTAGTACCCATGTATTATTTGACACTACCGAATCTATTTCATCATTTATAGTTTTTTTCCAAAAGGCAGCATCTCTAAAGGTCACATCCTCATTGCAGGTTTTTTGATCATTTTTAATGTTTAGTACAATGGGTATCTTATTTAAAATATATTCTCTATCAGTCTCAACAAAGAATACAATTGACTGAGTAGAGATAAAATCAGAACTTAAGTGTTTTTATGTTCTTTGTCTTTGACTTCTTATAGGTTCTACTATAGATGTTACAGTTGTCTCACTTCTACTTTCAGACTTTCAGTCTCATTGTTACCAATAAGTATTGAGATCTAAGTTTCTTTTCTTGGTTCTTTGTCATTTTATGTGGATTCAGAATATAATTTGTTTTTAAAGAATTCAACATCTCTAGTTTCAATTATTATATTGGATGTAAGTTACTTAACTATGCATTTACCCGGGTAATATTTACCTATGTTGTTTTTGCATATTGCATAGAAATGTTAGTTGGCCAATTTTCTTACTTCATGGGTAAATAACTTATTTATCTAAGAGATGGGTAAAATTTTTCTAGGTAAATTGTCAAAAAACTTACTCGGAAGAAACAAACTAAACCATAAAATACATTTAGGTGTTTTAGAGAGTATTTTAGACCAAACCAGTAAAATATGGTTTGAGATTTTTTCACACCAAACCAAACCGTTTTGGTATAGAAACAAACTAAACTAAACCATGTTTTGTGTGGTTTCTAATAAAGTTTGGGGCATATTATTGGGCTTAAAGCAACTAAAAATCCAAAATAGATGTCTGCATATATAACAAATATAGTCTTTTAGTCACCCTAAAATCATTGGACCATTGTAATTAGTTTGCTATATAAGCATCAATTTTATAATGATACTTTTTAAGATCCTATGGTCTTAATGAACACGTTAGAACATTTTAAGTCGTTGAGCTCTCTAATATTTTAATTATTGTAAAATCCTTTTCATGGAATTATTCTTCAATAACTTGTAAAAAAAATTAAAGTCAATGAATTAACAGCTATTATAGCTTCTTATAGAAGACTTTGCCACTCATGTCATGTTCCAGGTAACTGGGTAAGGAAGAAGATATCTTTCCTTGATCACACGGTATTCCCTAAGGAGATGTTGATCCTACGTACTCTACACACTTGGATTAAAGATCAGGCCAGTTACGGCCTTGGCTTTACAGACCTTCATGATAAGGGTGCCTCGTTTCCTTTACTGCATCTTAATGGGCCTGGTTTGGTCCAGTAGTTCATCAATATCCCATGTCCGACTCCCACCTGTTTCAACAAATGGATCTCAAAATTATGCCCGAGTCTGGCCCAAAACAGTTTCTCTGTTTGCTTTTTCAGTCTGTGATTGAATTCAAACTGTAGACAAGCGAGTTCGTGCTCAGGGGTAAAGTACTGCACCATTTTGCTTGACTCTTTGCCTGGAAAATAGAGAGTTTTATGTACTTGTTGTGTGTTTTGAACCACCATTAGTGAGGTTTAATTTCTCAAGCAAACAAGAAAAAACAGGAAAGAAAAATTAATAAGAAAGGAGAAATTAGGTGCACAGCCACACTTGGGGTGTAGAAACATTTTCAAGAATCGTCCATCATTTTCTCTAAAGCCTCCAAGTTCTGCCTATCAATCAGAAAATTCTGCATCTTTGATTTTGAAATTTGTTGCAGATGATCTGCAAAACCTGTTTAGAAAAAGCAAAATTACAAGTTCTCTAAACAAGCTAGCCCTGAATGAATGCTTATACTCAATGCTGCACACCACATAGGACATTCAAATCTCGGGATAATAATCTTCCTCATGGTCCATCAGCTTCCAAGATCCGTCAGCCCCCTGAACCATCCCTTTATTTTTCTCACACCGCCATGAAGCAAGTACAAGGTATTCGTCTCTCAGTCCATCAATCGACTTGTTCACAAGCGCAATATCTCGCTCAACTTCCAACTTGAATCCTCCTTTAGACCCCTGAGTTCCTGCAACTCCATGAAGATAGCCCTCTAAGTTGTGCGAAACTGATAGGTTCGCAGGACTCTTCAAGAATGTCGACTTCTGGGTGTCGATGACCAACTCTTGTCCAACATCTGAATACCCAATCAGTGGATAATTGGGTACAATATCTAAGGCGTTACGAACCCTTAACAGCCGGAGATTTTCCAGACTTGAGAGGAGCTTCTGGAACTTGTCGTCTCCAACGCGGGGACTAGCAAAGAGAAAGGCTGTGACTAGGCACGCCTTGTCTGGACGATCTTTAGGCCTGTTAAATCCATTAGCTACAATGTCGACTGCATTCAGTGTTCCAAGCGCTGCGCCCAAGCTGTGGCCGGTAATAGTTATGCTAATCTCCTCGTCTTTGTATTCCTCCACAAGCCTCCGCACTTCACTAAGAACCTGAGATTACACGCAAAATGGCCGTGTTTGTTTTATTGTTTTATATATGCAAGCAAATTAGCAAAATGAGCAGATGGCTGTGTTCGAGACAGAAACTTCATTTTGTTAATTAGTAATTCTACGGGGGAGAAATCTAGACTAATTAGAGTCTGTAGGTTGGGGGTTGACTAGATTGTTAGCTAAATCCCAGTTCAGATTAGGTCAAACCAACCAAGACCCATCGACCAATTACCAAGTGAGAACTGAGAAGCTTGGGCCATGGACCTCGACCCTATCAACTAACAATTGATAATTTGATTAGACACCCAGAAAAAAAAAAAAAAAAAAAAAAAAAAAGAAACTACAGAGAGAAGAAAAAAAAGACAGATGTTTTAGCCTTGTTCATGGGCCAATTCTACAGAAACAGAAGAAAACTCACCTGGTCTCTAGCACTGGTCCTGTTAAACGGCGCCCTTGGGTCGTCGGAAGTGTAGATCGACAACCAACCCTGATGCACGAAAGGGTCAATTGTTCGACCCAGTATCTGAGAGGCAGAAACCATGATGAAGCTGAAATCATCAATCCATTCCAAGGCCTGAAGACTACCTCTCCATGCAATCACAATATCCCTCCTGCCTAGGGCAGCCTTCCCTTCATCAGTGGCCACCGCAACATAACCCATCCAGTTCGATTCCCTGCTCCATGCCTCCCTCGACAATGACTTGATGATGAACGCTTCGGGGACATCCATTCGAGATGTAGCGTACAGGAATTTGGTTACGTTGTACTTGTATGGATTAGCATTCACCAGACCCACCTTGGAAAAGAAATCTCTCTTTGCATACCGACTACTTCCGGCAAACTTGGAGACTTTCTCAGTAATGAAGGCGTCGTAGGTTGCCTGAGCCATTTCTCCATAATGAATGATGCTTCGCCGGAGATCAATGTCAAGAGGATCCAAGAGGTTCTTCCACATCTCCTGGCCGTTGAGCAGCCTCCATCTTTTAGCTATGCTACCCATCTTCTCTCCTGCAAATACTCTGAAACCAAACCAGAGTGTGTGGATCGAGGAATGCTCTTCAAGATGTTTTCTTGTTCCTTCGTGAGGGCATATCAAACTAGCTAATTACTCTATTTATATGCTAAAGTCCAAACGATGTCGTATTGCTTTAAATTTTGTTTGCTTGCTCTGTTGGCAAGTTAAAATTTTATATTTTCCTCCTTAATTTATCAAAAGAAAAAAAAAAGTTAAAATTAATAATCCAGTCTGGTGGACCCAAATCTATCCAGGTCAAAATGATATCAGTTAAAAATTAAATGAAAGAATCTATAATGCCAGAAATAAATGGTGCTAAAAAGAGATTTGATCAATAAAAACCCACCTGTGAATTTTAATAAATATCAACTAATTCATTAATACAATTATTATACCTGTTAATTGATCACAAGTTTTTCAAATATAATGCATCTATGTATGTATGCTATGTTTGGTTAACCACAATTTTACCAGTTAACAATATAATGCATCTATGCTATGTTTGATCAATATAATGCATCTATGCTATGTTTGGTTAAAAACCAAAAAGCTGACTAACCACAATTTTACCAGTTAACAATGCGGTTGGATTTTAGCCCCATGCAAACCATTAAGCTGGTGTTTGGAGTTGCTGCCGTTTCTTAGAAAAATGGTATTACATCACGACCACATCTAAAATCATTTTTTTCATATAATGCCGAATGTTTGGTTAAAAACATTTTTGGCCTATTTAGAGTTTAGTCCCCCCCTCAGATTCTTTTATTGGTTTCTTAAATGTATTTAATTATTTATCCACACCTCGTGAACTGTGAATATTTAATTATTTACCCACACCTCGTGAACTGTGAATCTTTCCTCCCCTTGGCACTACCCAAAGAAGGTTTTTAAAATCGAAACAGACAACGAACCATTCAGGAATCCAGTTCTTAGGTCGAATGGTCCGATCATTTGAATCAAACGGATGGGCCTGTTCTAAAAAAAAAATAAAAATAAAAAAAACAGCCAAAAAATACAAAAATTAAAAATTAAAAAAAAAACAGCCAAAAACCATTGTCCAGATCGATGGTCTGAATGGTTCACCTGCTAAAATCAACGGTTTGCTGATCAAATCAATGGTTTTATGACCAAAAGACAGTTCTAGGGTGAAACAAAACTGGCCAAGTGATCGGTTCCCGGTTATTCTGGTCTAACCATCCAATCCGGTCCAATTTTAAAAACATTGACCCAAACCGTAGGAACTCATTAGAATTTCTAAGAGTCCAGGTTTTCTACCCACACAATTCTACTCACGTAACATCGCAACCACACATGAAGAACATCTCATCCTCTTACATATTATTATACACGGGGAGATGTTCCTAATGCACGAAAATAGTATTTTGCTTGTGAGTAAGTATGAATAGAGTTCTTGTGGGTAGGAGTAGGGGTGTCAATTGACCGGTTTTGGATTGGATCTAATCCAATTCAAACATTATCAAATTGGATTTGGACGGTTCATTATAATTATTGGATTGGGCTAATCCAAAATAAATTGGTTCATATTATTATTGGTCTGAATTAGGGCTGTTCAAAAGAATGTCCAACCCGACCAAACCGACCAACCTGGACCGGCCCAACCTGAGTCAGCCGGGTTTTCATTAGTACCGGTCGGTTTCGGGTTGGGAAAATATATAAACCGATATATCGGGTCGGTTTCGGTTTTCTTGTGTGAAAACTGAAACCAACCTGACCTGAACCGAATTAGTCTTCTACTAGTTCGGTAGTTCCTAGTTTGAGTAGTTTCCTACTTAACTATAACTAGTCTTTTACTAGAACTAGAAGGCCCATTAGGCAATTACAATTAGAATAGGCAATCTATCCTAGTTTCTAACTTTCTATAGTCTTTTACACCAAATAGGTAATTACAATTAGAATTCAATTAGGTGTCCTTTTGTATAGGAGCAAAACCGAAACCGACCCAACCTGACTCAAACCGACCAGGTCGGTTTGGCCTATCAGTGGGTCGGTTTCGGTTTCCACCTCAGGTAACCCGACCGGGTCGGTTGGGAAAACCCCAATAAACCGACCCAACCCGACCCGTGAACACCCCTAGTCTGAATTGGACCTAAACTAAATTCCCAATAATCTGATAATGAGGCCAAACCCTTGTCCAATTTGAAATGGATCAAAAGTGAATTTGGCATAAAATTACTTTTATGAAAATACTTTTACAAAAATACTTTTACAAAAGTAAAAGCATTTTTACAAAAATACTTTTACGAAAGCACTTTAATAAAACACTTTTACAAAGTACTTTTACGAAAACACTTTTATCAAAGTAGTTTTACACGAAAACACTTTTACAAAAGAACTTTTATGGAAGTACTTTTATAAAAGCACTTTTATTCAGGAACTTTTACAAAAACATTTTTACAAAAGTACTTTTAAAAAGCACTTTTGCGAAAGCATTTTTAGAAAATACTTTTACGAAAGCACTTTTATAAAGCACTTCTATGAAAATACTTTTATAAAAGTACTTTCGTAAAAGCACTTCTACCAAAGTACTTTTACAAAAATACTTTTACAAAAGCACTTATACGAAAGTACTTTTATAAAAGCACTTTGATAAAAGTACTTTTATGAAAGCACTTTTGCGAAAGTTCTTTTTTAATGCCAAAAGGGTATATTTTTTGTAATTTTCAGATTTTCTTCATTTTAATATATTTTTGTAATTTTTATATGTTCTGCTTTTATATATAATTTTTGATATTTCATCCGATTTGGATTGGATCCAATCCAGTCCATTTACATTTTAATGAGTTGGATTAGATTTGGACTGGATTGGGTCCAGTCCATCTGTAAGTGGACTCACATTGGACTGGATGGGGTTGGATTAATTCCAGTCCAATTGACACCTCTAGGCAGGAGATCCGGAGTCTTGTGAGAATGGCATGTCAATGCGGTATCGTTTTTCCAAAAAATACCTCTCAATAAATGGCATTAATTCCAAACAATGCCTTAATGAGGATAAAAAAGCTCACAGGGTGACCAATTTACCCACGGGTTCAACCATTCCGTTCAATCCGAGTCTAAATCTAACAATACTGGTTAGTAGTTTAGTGGACGAACTCAGTATTCAAATCCAGAATTCGGATGGTATTGAGTTGTATGGTTGGCTGAATGACAGGTCAAGCCAATTTTATGGTCGCAAAATTTGATGCACGTCTTAGACCGTATGTGAATAATTGCTCTTGATCTTAATATCAAGAGACTGAATTGAGAATTATCAAACGTACACCAGCCAAAGCATTAAACTGTCAACTACTTGCTCCAATGAGCAACAATAACTCAAAACCCTGCCTTTTCCCTCAAATTGTTTGTTCTATTATTGGTCTCCAAAAAAGAACATTTATATTTCTCTCTCTCTCCCCCTAGAACAAGTAAAGAAGAGTTGTAAATCTAAGATTACATTTGCTTTATCCCCAAAAGTGAATAAAGAAGTTTAGATTACTTTCTCATTATTAATTTTCTCCTGTTGTTATCAATCAATGAATTATGCAGGTTTCTTCTATTATTAGCATTTGGACAATGCTTGTACGGTCTGTGTAGTCCATCTCTAGCCGGAAGTAGAAGCTTCCCTTTGGCGGCACGGTATGTACTCTGTTACGATCGAGAGTCCAAATCCCTCTTCTCCCTCTGTCTGGACAATTGTTGAAATTGTTAATATCTGTCATCTGTGAGAGATGAATGTGGATTTTTCTGAGAAGGTGAAGAATGAAGAAGCATGACCCACACCAAATTGCCGTGTCTTTCACTCAATGCAACAACACCCAGAGCCATGACTCATTTATCTACAGTTTCTAGACTCGTTACTTCATGGGCGATCTCTCAACTCAAGTCTCAATCGGGTCTTGGCGATGGCGATCAACACTCGACTCGATTTTGAGCTATTTTCTTCTAATTTTTTGGGCTGGGCCTTAGCTTAGCTTAGATAGTCTGTAATCTGTATAAATATATACATATTGAGCTAAAAAGCTGTTAACTGCGGTAGATATTAAATGACCTTCAGGTGTAATAACAGATAGAGATAGAGGGTGACAACCAAATCCCATCCTTTTTGGCCTGGGGGGTGGGGGTGGTTCCTCGAAACTACATGGGCGCGCATCAGAATCAGAGCTACGAACGCTGACCATGACATCTATTAAAGAAAGAGCTTCACCTTACACTCTGTTTTATACGGATTGCCTTTCAAGCAATTAATAATGCTGCTCGAACCTTGGCTCTATGTACCCCCTGACCCTGACATAATGCAGACTTGTATGGGCTTTATTATTCCTTTCTTAAACAGGGGATTGTATTATAATATTGTATGTTGTCTGCTGATTCCTGATTCTACTCGGTTGGTATTTTGGGTCGTCTATGAATCAGGCTGTAGCCCATTGCAGTTACAAGGAGTAAAGACCTCGCTCAGAACTGGATCACAATTTAGGAATAAGGACCCATTTCCTTCGGGATAGATAGAGAGAGAATTAAAGAAAAAAAAGTTGGGTATAATTTTGTTTTAATTAGTCCAGGTTGCTTCTAAGGCTTATTCCACATGATATATGTCCATTTTAATACGGTATAGAAACTTCACTCGAGCTTAATTTTCCTAGGTTCCTATAGATGGTGAAGGTTTGGTTCTGAAACTGGGTAGCTAACTTGTGGGCTTCTTGAGCAGCCTGCATCTCTGATATCATAATGGTTATATTGTCAATTTTGCCCCGATTTGTTTTCCCTCATTAAGCAACTAAAGGTGTACCTTCCATGGAAGTTGATTTTGATGCTGTTTGGGGTGGAGGGACCTATTTGGTCCAATTTATCCTCTTGGGGCGCAAGAATTCTGTTGGCCTCCCACCAATTTTTTAGATTCCAAATTTTGATTATCTAGAATTCCCCACCTGTCTAGCAATAGTAGGGTGTCAATCGGACAGGATTTGGTCCAATCCAAATCTATTACAAATGGACCAGTTCTAATCCAATTCAAACCCGGTCCATTGATATCTATACTCTTAACTTATATCAATGGACCAGATATTGA